CCAAGCCCTGGCTCTGCTACAGCCTGGTTACGGCTCTTGTGCCTTGCGTGGTTTCCATGAAGCCTTCTTTGTGAGCTTCTGTTGGGATTAAAGCCTGCATTTTGCTCTCCATGCAGCTGCTGCCTTCCTGAAACCACTAACCAAATTAGATTTCTTTTTTTCTCCTTTTATCCGGGAAGCTGCTACGGCCGACCCCCCTAGGAGGCCAATGGGCTACATTCGTTATTGATTTGGCCTCCTGGAATGCGCCTTGGGTTGCCCTGTGACCTCGGACCATCTTCAGAGGATGTGAGATCACAGGCTTTGCGAATGCCGCATCATCTCTCCCGGCACTTGGAGCTCCTGCGGGAACAGTAGCTCTTCAGAGCAAGCCTCATCAACGCTGTGTCGGAGGGCACCCTCACACGCAAATGGCAGGCCCTGCCCTCCCAACACCCAGACCCAATGGGACTGGCACGAGGCGGGTTGTGTGGGAAAAGGCGAGCTCCAGTCAATGCCAAGCTTCAGAAGGGCTGAGCCGGCACCAGCCAGCCGAAAGAGTTTTCTCTGGAGTGACTGGAGAAGCACAGAACTTGCCACCAGCCGGCTGTAGTGCATGCCAGAACAGGGGTTACTGCATTCTAGACTAGTACCATTTCTCTGAACTCCTCTTTGGGACGGCTTCGTGAATACTTCACCAATGATCCACGAGTTCTTTAAAAGGCGGCATTCACCACAAGCGTCATGCTGGCTTCCATACGACCAACATTCACAACTACATTGAGGGAATCAGTTGGGAAAGGTGGACCCAAATCGCACTGAGGAACAAGGCAGGAGGAGGGGCGGTGAGCCCCTCCAGAAGCCCCCAGACCAGGGAAGTCTTATCCAATAAGGTCTTGGGGCTTACGAGGAGGAGCAGGGAAGGGCTCCCCTGTCACGGGTGGGCTTCAGGCGCAGCTGCATCTTCTCCCACCGAGCAAGTGTGCTGCTTCCTCTGCCCCCATCTTTGCGCATGAAGGGGCTCCCAAGCTGCGCTTGCCCGCTTCATGTGCACGTCTCCGCTGAGGACAGAGAAAGACCCGCTCTGTTCACACGGAAGGGCCCCGGGCGGGGGGGGGGGCACTGCTCACTCATTAGGCTGGGGCTCCCGCGTGAAAAGGAAGCGGGGCCAGGGCAGCTTGGCTGGCCGCTGTCCAGCAGGCTGGGGTGTGGGGGAGGGGGTAGGAAGAGGCGCCTGGAAGTGAGGCGAGGTCGCAAGGACCTAGGGCATGCCGCATGCGAGGCCAGCGCCAGATGCTGAGGGCTTGGGTCAATCAGTGCCTTGTGTGGCTCAGAAGTGTCTGTGCTCCGGTTCTTCTGGCTGGAGACCCTGCTCCTCTCAGCTCTGCCCGCCCTGTTCTTGTGAGGAGACAGATGACCGGGCTATTCAGAGCAGTGGGAAGGAGCAGCGCATTCCCTCTGGTGCCGAGATCAGCGCATGCCATCTGGGTGCAAGCATGAGGGTTGCAGCAGCGGGCGAGGAACCGGGCTGGCAGCCGGCTCATCCGAGGGCAGGCACACGCAGACCCCCGGAGCCCTCGAGAGCACCAAGGATGGTGGCACGAGGTGCACTGCCTGGCTCTCACGGCTTGGCTCAGATCTGTGTGCGCTGCCCGGGAACTGCGGCCACTCCAGGGGCTGGGAGCGGGGCAGGTGCGCGGCAGCAGTGGGGGGACAAGAAGGCAAAAGAGAGAACTGCAGCTCACGCCCAACGATGCAACACCAGCATCTGCTGGCACCCCTCGAACGCATGCTTGCAGTCCCTGCCCAGGCAAGGAACACACGTGTGTGTCTACCCCACCCCTCTGGGGAGAGCTGTCTGTCACCCCGCCATTTTAAGGGGGAAAGGATGTTCAAGAAGTGCTTCTAGGCATCGATCTCAGTGCCTGCAGGGCATGGAGCAGACGCCTTCCACCGGACACCAAACAAATCCAACGGGCAAAATGTGGTCCTGACCATGGCGGTTCAGCAAGTCTTAGCTGAGTAGGAGAGAAGGGGATCAAAACCTTTCCAACTAATCAAATGTTAGAAAGCAAACATGTGGGCTCTTTAGCTACAGCCAGACCTGTTTCTACAGATTCTCAATCTTTTAGGGAAAAAGGATGAGCTTATCACAGAATGTGCAAACCAGAAAGTGAGCGAGCAGTCAAATAATGGTGGGGAACTGATCAGAGTAGCTGCAGCTGCAAACATCCGCTCAGTTCTTGAAGTGACCTTGGAAGGGTTTCCTCTCAGCCCAGGGTTGGAGCTTGTGTGCTTCGGCCTCTAGGAACTGTAGCTGCTGTGCCTGCAGCTGAGTGCCGTTCCTTGAAGGCACAGAGGCATCCAAGCCGCAAGCGGTGTGGGTCCCTCTGCCCCACGGGGCACAAGCCAAAAGCAAGGCCCTGGCAGAGAGACCAACCTAGGGTGCACATGGACAAGGCTGCCTCTTCCTCCTGCTCTCCAGCTTCTCCCCACAACAGCCCTGCGAAGTCGGCTGGGCTGAGTCTGTGACTGGCCAAAGTCACCCAGGGGGCTCCGCGGCTGAGTGGGGACTAGAAATGAGCAAGGGCAGAAGCAACACCCCGAAGCGAAGCAGGCAGAGAGTACTGCTTGGGCGATCCCTTCTGGGGCTTCTGCTGCCCCTGGGTTCAGGCTTTATAGGTTCAGGAGATGAGCCTCCACAAAAGGCATCAGCCTCGGCCGCATTGCCTCCCCAAAGGACTGGCAGGGCCGCTCGCAACTTGGAGAGCCAGCTGCCCATGGGAATGTGCCATGGCCTCTATTTTAAGCAGCGGGGAATAGGGGAAGGTACTCGGCAGCCCTGGGAATGTGCAAGGGTGGCACTGGCCTGCTGCTGCCAGCCTCTCAGGCAGCCACATGGTGAGTTAGGAGCGGCAGACGCCCAGCAGCAACACCCCTTGGCATGGCACAGGCGATCTCCTTCCGGCCCCTTGAGGAGAAAGGACATTAAAAGGACACCATCTGCTGGCCAATATATTAATTTCTGGGCATGTTTCACCTGCCCTGCCCAACGCCTGGAGCCTCTCTCCAAGGAGGGCATCCACCCCTCCTACCCACAGGGCAGGGGTATCCCTGCGTTTCTTTAAGGAAACTACCAAAGGCATCAAGGCTGCCCTTTGCTTTTCCAAATAATAATAATAATATACTATTATTATTATTATTATTATTATTATTATTATTATTATTATTATTATAACAACATTTCTATGCCGCCCCTTGCCGACGCCTCGGGGCGGCTTACAACACAATAAAATATATATAGCCGATGGTATAGAATATGCTGGAAAATAACACTCCCAACAGTTCACAAAACGTATGTATACAACAGAGCAGTGTTTTCTAGGTCCGGAGTATATTCTTTCTCTCCAGCACAAAGAGCTTTTAATTTCCGTGCCATGGAAATATATGCCCCAACCTAAATTACCAACGTTTTGCATGCCTTTGCAATTTGCTCTGCTTCTCCAGATTGGTCTCCCATCACTCCTAGTTTTAGGGGGTGCGCCAATTGGCGCGCAAAGCAGACTTGGGGGCAGCCCTCCAACCTGGTGCCTGCCTTTTATCTTGGACTGCAACTACCATCATTCTCAGCCACACCATCCCCAAGAGCAGCACTATTCAACCCATGACTACGATGCGGAAAGATGGATCCACCACCGATGCTGCCTAGACAAGGCCATCCACCTAAACTCCGTGGCTGCCAGAGGAGCAACCCGGAGGCCGCTGATCACGCAGAAGAGCCAGAAAGATCAGCAGGTGGGACAGGACAGTCACCCATGGGACAGCTTTCACTCACATTTCAATGCCAAGCTGTAATGCGGCAAAACGCGGAACAGTGAAAGACGAGTGTGTGAATACTTCTGCAAGGCACTGCACAAAATCAGATCCTGCTACTGGGGTTTTAGCTGGCGGAGGAGCAAGTGTGTCAGGACATGCCGAACCAGGAAGATGTGTGTGCCTCTTGCCACATTCCTGTAAAATAAATACTAGACTTGGGAATACACCCACACAGCTTGAAAATTGCCATGCCTGCCTTTCCCAAAAAGATGGCCGTCAAGAGGAATGCAAACAAGGCACGCAGCCTCGTACACTCATTGGCAACACTTCCAGAATCTTACCTTGCCAAGACCTGGGAATTCCCAAATCCCAGGGCTGGCCACAGGTGCAGCTACGTTATCCGACCATAAGCAACCGATTGTGTGGACATAAAAGGAGATACGAAGAAGGCAAGCCGAAAAGCCTACTCGGCCAAAGCCACCGCTGACTCGCCCATCACGCTAAGGAAGAATGGCTCAGCGTAAAGGCGACAATGCACTTGGGCAAGCTGGGCGCACCTCCAGCCACTCCTCCCCACAGGACTCCACTGCTGCCACAGCCTCTCACTGAAGAGGTGTTGCTCCCACAGGCTTCACAGGCCGAGACCACCAATGGCGGGGGAAGCACAGCAACAAGGATCCCGCACCTGCTCTCGCTCTCCTGCATGTTAAGTGGTGGCTTCCTGTCAGCACGCGGCCCCGCTCCCCCAGAAAAGCCTCCTGTGTCAGACAAGCTCGGCCAGCAAGAACAGTAGCACTGAGGGCCCCAGGGGTCAAGTCAGGCTGACCTTCTCCCCAAGGAAATGGTACCAATGTCGAATCTTCTGTCCTCAGGGACAAGCATGCAGGTTGCAACGTTGGGCCCAATGACAGGAATTGTCCTTTCAAGAGCTTCCTACCAAGACCTCTTTCAGGATGTTTATATCACTAGAGTGAATGGATGAAATGGAGACTCCAGATTAGGAAAGTCCTCTTCCAAGTGAACCTGATCAACCTGAATTAATGGTTCATGCTGAATTGTGTCCGTGGATGCATGCAGGATGGCGGGGAAGGGGCCAACCAAACTCTGCAGCACCTGCTCAGGTGCACTGTGCGCTCCCACGGCTATGGGCATAGCAGGGAGGCAGCTGCCATCCATTGAGAGGAAGGGAAGACCATGGTCAGAAGTACAAAGATAATCAAATATTTAATAGCAGCTTTGAGAAAGGGGTCAGAGTTGTCTGAGTTTACATCAAAACAAGATAGGGAGAGCGAGAAGGAAAACCAGCGGCATCGGTGAGGGCCCAGGACCTCTGAACACTCCGGCAAAACCTTCGACCTGCACTCCAGATCAGGCTTGGCATCTCGAGGGCCACCTGGGGCTGACCAGCAGTGGCCTGCTGGAGCCGCCGCTCACCCAGAGCAACGACATGGTCAGTTGTGTCTAGTCCCAGCGTTACAGATACCGAGCTTTATTAAATAATATCATCCTATGTAAATCAACATCTATATTTGTGTTTAATTAAAAAAAAAACCTCTTCCACCCGTCTTCACAGTGCACCTCTCGGAAGGCCTCCCAATGGGATGTCATTGCTGTGTGGGAGACAGGAACACAGAGACCTGTTATTTGGCAGTCTGCGTGCGTGCGTGCGTGCAGAGGTCTACCTCTCATTTCAGAAAAAAAAAAAAAGACAACTCTAGACATGCCTGCACAGAGGGAGATTTGGCCAAGGCACTTCAGGTGATCGAGAACCGTGAAACCTATTTCTCCTCTGGGCCCCGCGGAGTCCCTGAAGGGCTTCTCAGCGGAGTGTCCTCACTACAGCAGTGCCTGCAGTGCGGGTTTTCAGGGGGCAAGATGGGCAGCTGAGCAAGGATGATTCACAGAGCGTATTCAAGGCAGGCGGACGTTCCCGTGGTTCGTGCCACTGGACCCCCAGGAGGGATGTGATGAGAACTGCATCCTCACGCTGCGGGCCCTGCGGCAAGTTGGACAGCCACCCCACCAGGCAGTTTAGTGCCTTCACCCTAGTTCTAGAGAAGGAAGTGTCCTTCCAAGTGAGAAGAGCCAAGGGGGAGAATACCAGTTTGTGGAGCTGATGAGGAAGGTGCTCCAGGTCACCCGGCCAAGACACTCACAGCCTCCCCTCAATCTGGCCAGGAAGGAATTCCCTTTGCACCCCCAAATAGGACAATGCGTTAGCACACAAGCAAGACACAACCCCGTCCACCAGAAAAATGTTTCTGGCAGCGATCAAGGCCTCACAGCACCCACTTCTCCGGCCACGGAAAGCCTGCCTTGGGAAGGATACCAGGCCTGGAGGTCTTCCCGCACGGGATTAGCTTCATGCACGTTTATTCAACCGTTTCTGCTCCCATCACTGCCTTCTTCGAGAACTTCACCCCTCACCACAGACACACACACAGCAAATCTTCAGGCCGATGCCTTACCTTGGCCTTGTTCTGAACGGGGATGTAAAGCTTGAACTCGGCAGGAAGTTCATCCTCAGAGTAAAGTCTGTCAGAGAAGTAAATTCTGCGGATGCGACAGTTGGCATGGATCTGAAACGGCAACCGGGCCAAAAGAAGCAGCTGCAGCAGTCCGAATTCTGCTGCCCTGTTTCAAACCAGGCCTGCAGCTTACAGGCCATTCCACCAGAAGTGCTGCCGGGACGCTGCGAACCGGTTCACCACCAACAGAACCAGACAGGCAAGCTTTCCTTGAGTGCCCGGAAACTATCTCAGAAGGGGATTTTTATCTCAGTTGCTGCAGGAACAGCACCAATGAGGCATCGCATGGAAGCAAGGCCCAGCTGCGTCACAGCGGGGGAAATGGCCGAAGCCCAGTGTGTGACATGTGTGGAGGGGGCTGCAACCCCCACGCTGCGTCATTTGTCACAGCCTCCCGCAACAGCATGCCTTCCAGATAGGCTGGAGGACATGCCGGGAGAGCACTGGGCTGGGGGAGACGGGTGCTGCCTCCACAGTACAGCTGGACCAGGCAAGCAGCACCTGGACAGGTGAGGCGACCATGCTCCGTCAAGCGTCCACCTTGGGCTCGGCCCTCACAGAATCTCTCCCAGCTCCATTACCCAGCAACTACGCTTTGATGGGAGGTCTGTATTCAAAGCACACAGCAGCCAACCCCACGGCATCCGTCTTGGCAAGGGATGCAGCACAGCTGAGGTTAAAGAACAAAGCTGCTCCTTCTGCAGAGGGGAGGGCCATTCCTCCAGCTGCAGAGCATTGCTGACCACTCTTCTGCCTCTTGGAACCTTTCAAATCCAGTGCATTTTAATGCACTTCCAGTGTGTCTATAATGTCAGAGCTTTCTGGACAATTCACAAAAGGTTTGCTAGAGCCAAGCTACAGTTGCCTTTGGAGTCTGGAAAGTGTAAAATAACGTTCCGTCGAGTAATCAGGGAGGAGCAGTGCTTTCAGCAGTGCCCTTCTTTGGAACGATCCAGGCCCAGAAATGTCACTGAAGGAGCCATTTGGCAGCAGCACTGCAGCTCCCGCCAAGGAAGCTTTCCAGTCTGTCCACCGCCCCCACGCGCTCCCAATGTAGCCCTGATGCACCCCCGCAGGGGATTTCCGGGGCCCCGAGGGGGTGAAGCTGGGCCCTCTGTCGGGCCCCCCCACCCCGAGACCCTCACCTGAACCCTCAGGGTCTCAATGTAATTGGTGCCGTAGGCACGCCGAGTGAAGTCAGACAGGTTGAACTGGATCTGGTTCCAGCCATCGTCCAGGCGCATCGGCATGGTGCAGATGAAGGGCTTGACCCGGGTGGTGCTCTGGTAGTTACTGGCACGGAACCGCCGGCGCACGTTTTTATCATCCAGCACCTAGCACAGAAGGACACCCACTGCCACTGAAAAGTGGGGCCTCTGAGAAGAGAGGAGGGCTGCCCAAGGTTGAGGCTGGACCTGCATCTCCCCTCCCACACACAGGCCACCCAGGATGGCAGGACCGAGCCCACCTCAGCCGCCTCAGGAGCATTAGCCTCGGTCTGGGTGAGGGCCACATGTAGACCCCGGAGAGGACCTGTGTCAGAGCAAATGGCAAGAACCCGGCCCGGGCAGCCTCGCCAGGTCCTCTGGTGGGCCTCCAGAGGGCCACCCCTGAAGGAATCCCCCTTGGCTCCAGAGGCCCTGAAATCGGTCATAACTGCAGGAACACAGGTGCCAAATGGCCAGTGCCCAGAAGACCACTCTGCTGATGGCCGGCAGAGGGGGCCACAGGCAAGGGGACAGGGCCACGTGAAGCACGGCTGCCTTTCCTCTCCACCCCTCCCCGTGAGACAGCTCTGCCCTTTCTGCGGCCCAGCACTACCCAGAGCGGCCATTACTGGGAAGGAGGCGCCTGCCGAGCCCCTTTCTGTGTGCCTCTTTCCACACCAAAGCAAGGGCCAGAGGGCGGGCAATGGCCTCCGGGGGTGCGACCACGAGCCTGGCCACCTGACGGACAGACTCCCAGCACAGCCCGCGCAAATCAAGTCAACGGGCGAGCTGGGGAAGAGCGAAGATTTTGCCCGACGGAGCCGTTACGCTCTGGACCTGCCACGGCAGCCCCAGAGACTCACCTGCACTTCAAAGGTAAAGTATTTCTTCAGATTCTTGATAATCATCACCAGGAAAGGCAGCTTGATTCCCAGTGTCTTCTTTGGGTCAGCAGGGCATGTGATATACGTGGTACTGGATGAGAGAGAAGCACAATGGACCCTGAGTACTAGCAGTTGTGCATGGCAGGCTGAGCAAGACTGGTGGCCTTCTCAGAGGCTTGCCAGTGGCACCTCAGCTCCTCAGGCTGCGAAATCCACGGGTGTGTGTGGGCACAACCCGTCATGGGGCTGCAGGTGGTTTGGAAAAGTAGGTCAGCTTGTTAGGTGTCTACCCATGGAGTTGGCGGGAAGTATTCTCTTCCCCAAACCTCTGTGAGCAGCAAAAGCCCCACCCTGACTCCCCTAGACCTATTCTTGTCAAGCAATGTTATGAATGTCAGGATCCTGTGGAAACTAATAAAGGCACATCTGCCAAATCCAAGTATGGATCTTCTTTCAAGGGACTGGATTTAAATCAGAGGGGCAGCTAGAGTGGGTTTTCCAGCCTGCAGGCTTAGTAAAGGCCAGAGATGTGTCATGGAAGGGTCAGGAAGGTGTTTTGGGATGAGGACTCTCAAGGGACACTACGAAGGGCAAGTCAGGGACTCCTCCTTACCTGACATTGGTTCCTTCAATTTCCAGCACCAGTGACTGAATATCGTTATCTGTGATTCTTTTGATGTGGCCATTCCGCACCTAGAGAGGGAGGAGGAGATGACCCGTTCCTTCAAGGCCCGTCTGAGCCTGTGCCTGGAAGACCAAAGCGAGGACTGCCTGACCAAGGCAGGACCGGATGGGAACAAACTGAAGCATGAGCAGGATCCCAAGCAAAGGATCTAGGAGCAACCCTGTGGGGGAGGTGAACCTGAGAGGGAGTACCTTTTTAACAGGTACATAAGCTAATTAGCTGGTCTTCCCAATTTGTCCTAATATTCCTCTATCCCTCAACTTCAAAAGACTTTTGCTTCCTTCTGCTGTTTTATACCCCTGCTTCTGTTGCCAAACTGTACTGGCTTTACTTCCTCCAAGCTAAAAAATGTTCTCATAATTTAAAAAAGTGCCTTCATTCTTCATTTTCTCTCTCATTCAAATTATTCCTGACACAAAATCACCACTCTCAGTGTCTCTTCACTTCTCCACAGCTACTTTGTGAAGGTTCTATTTGGACTTACATTTTTCTCCATGGCATTTTGAGCATCGCTTTAGCTACTTCGCCTACATATTTTTAATTCTCAGCTTTCTTGGTGCTAATGTCTTTTGGATATATGATTCTAATTCCCCTGACACATGATGTAAATGTTAATAATTCTCTTCAAGAAGTGATTCCTTCTAACCTCCCCAACTGCAGAATCCTTAAGATTCCAACTTTTTGAAAGCCTAATGCTCAACAGATTATTTCCTGTAATGTTAAAGTACCCAATAAATAAACATTTCAGAAGACAATCCTAAGTGCCAGGGTTGTGCACCTGTTCATCCACAGTCGGGCAAAAAACCCAGACACTCATTAATGTTGCTACTGCCTCATTGGGGAGGGACACCTCCCACTCTGCAGACATAGAGAAGCCATGAGCTGGTCTAGCTGTGCTCAACCCCCCAAATCCACATTCTGCACCAAAGCAACCACACTTTTGCACCAAGGAAACAGATTTTCTGCAGCCAGCTCAGATCCTACTTGCTTTGCATCACTCGACAGCCCTCTCCACTGAATATCCTGTCCCATTTAACTGCACCTTCCTCTACACGAGAGAGGAACATACTGAGCTCTTTTATTCTCTTTTTGCTCCTGAGTAACTAAGATAATTTTCATTGATTTATTATGAGCTCTATTTCTATACCGCCTTTCCTCCAAGAAGCCTAAAAGTGTACACGATCCCCCTCCTCTCCGTTTTATCCTCACAACCATCCTGTGAGGTTGGCTGGACTGAGAATCATGGCTGAGTGGAGAATGGAGGGCATGAGAACTCTGAAGGAGCTGGAGATCAGCAGCTAAGAGAGTAGACCTGTAGACCAACTTTCACCTGCTCTAAAAGCTAGACTTTATGAGCCGTGGCAAGAAGAAAGCCATTGTGCAAACAAATCCACCCCAAGGTTGTTTGGGGTTTGCAAAAAGGCATGTGGGGGACACAGGAAAACTGGGAATGATGCCCTGATCCATTCATTGAATGGCCTTCTCTAGGCAGAGTTGGTGGTGGATCTCTCTTTCCACATACTTTCCACGTCGTCGTCATTTGTTTTTCGGCGCCAGGCCAAGACCTTTTTATTTAAACGATATTTTAATTGTTAATCTGTGTTTTATTTAATGGTTTTATATTATCACTGAGAACTCCAAATTTTTAATATTGTTCTATGCTTTGTTTTCCTTGTGAGCCGTCCCAAGGCTTCGGCGATGGGTGCGGCATAGAAATGCTATAAATAAATAAATAAATAAATAAATACTACTAGTTGTGGATTTAATAGTGCTCCTAGGGATATTCATACTGTAGAATGGGATATCTGTGTGTAACTCAACCCTGATCTCTCCTCCGGCACAACTTTATCTTGGAGTGGTCTCCATGAGGTTGTTTGTTTACAGTAGCTACACTCTCCAAGAAACCTGGTGCCTTCCAGAGGCAGGTGCGTTGAATCTGAGGGTTTGTGTTGAATCAGAGGGAATCTGAGGCGTTGCCTGGGGTGGGGGCGTTCTATGCAGTGACTTACAGGATGTGACTTCTGGGGGAAGGGGGCTGCAATACAGCTGATTTGGGCATGCACTCAGCAGAGGGATCGCGCTTGCACCCGTGCAGGGAAGGCGTGTGTGCTTGTGATCGTCACCCAATGCAGAGTAAACGACCTGCGGCAAAATTTTTATGAAATTTCTGTTGGCAACCCAATTTGGTCGTGAACTGAGGTGTTTGTGAGCCAAGGTATTACTGTATTTCTATACCATCCAAGAGCTGAAGCTCTCTGAAGGGGTCACAACAGGCAGATAAACTACAATAAGAAAACAATAAAAGACTTTGCTAGGTTGCTGCAAAGCCCAGAACACCACCTGTGCTTAGCTGGGAGCCAGAAAGCTCAGGTACTCCCATGGACACATGTTCATCAAAGCCTAGTGCTTCAGAGGTATTGAAGGATTATACTACCTGTGACTTCCTACCAGTTTGATGCTTTGAAGAGAAATACCACCAACACATGTCCTTGCTTTTATTCTATTCTGAACTCATAGGCTTTGTATTACATTTCACTATGTTACAGCATTTTATACTTTTAAGTAAGCTTCTCAGAAAGCTTTGACTTTCTGAGAAGTAACGAAATCCAAAAGGTCAAGATTTCTTAGCAGTTAATGCTGAGCCAACTTCTGTACTCTCAAAGGTGTTCTGACAGCATGGAAGTCCTGCCACCCCAGCTGAAAATTTCTATCTCTACAGAAGTAATCCAACTAGACAACAAACAACCTGAAACAAACAGGCAAAAAGATGTGTGTTGCTAAAACATTAAGACCAATAATAACAACAAAAGTTAACTACACTAAAAGGAAGAAACTACTTAGGGATGACAGGAGTTAATGGTAATAGAAGAGAATAAGGAAACTGCAGAAAAGGGAAATGCATTCTACTATCTTCACAAAGATGTTGAGCAGATAAACCTGCCTGAACTAATATCTTCAGGAAGGGAGTCAGAGGAACTAAGACAAATAGTGATGATAAGAGATAATGTTCTACACCTTGCTAATAAACTGAAAAAAATTACCAGGTACAGTTAGTACCTGTCCTGGAGTTGTTCAAAGCAATGCACCAAGAGATGACATTCCAGGCCTTGTAAGCCATTAAAAATTTGATCACAAGGACTGAATGGTATCCAACCAAAGTCTTAAACTCAAATGTGACTGAGTTTCACATTTGACCCTTGACCCTAAGGGCCTCCTGGAGGCCTGGGGAACCCCACTTTGATATCTGCCCAGCGTGGTAAATGTGTATTCTGTCTCTTCATTTTGTATTCTTTAACCGTGAGGAGACCTGGTTTCTTCCCATGACTACTAAATTTACACCCGCATCAAGATCTCCTGTGTAAATTTACACAGTAGCAGTCATGGGAAGAAACCAGGTCTCCTCACGGTTAAAGAATACAAAATGAAGAGACAGAATACACATTTACCACACTGGGCAGATATCAAAGTGGGGTTCCCCAGGGATTTGTATAGGAACTAGTGCTTCCTTCATCACTAGTTCATAGAGTATCTGGAATTAGAAATGTGCAGGGAGGTAGCTAAGTTCGCTGATGACACATGTGGTGCAATCCAATGAAACTGAAGCGGGCAGACCAACCCCTACCTTGGAGAGAATTTCTAGACTCCGAGCACCCCATAGATGCTTCGACTCAGCCCAGCAGCCACAGGATTGTGCTCCCAATCACTCAGGGCGGCGAGAAGAAAAAGGGCCGGCAGGGGTCCCCCAAAGTCCCTCTGCGGCCTGGGCGCACAGGCTTTAAAATGGCAGGCGCAGTTTAACGCAAGGGTGCAAAGGGCTGCATGCCGGCGCCAAAGCGACCCTGGCTTTCCAGGCGCGCTCCGGGGAAAGGGCCCTGCAGTCTCCGGGGAGCCACGCGGGGGACAGGGCGGATGAGGCCGCCGAAGAAAGGCCGCCGGTTCGGAAAGCGCGGCTTGAGGGCGGAAGCCCGAGAGGCGCTTCCCGCCGCCGGCAGGCCCGCGCCGCGCCCCTTGACAGCATCCCGCGCGGCCGGGCGCGGCGAGGGGCACCCGGGGGAGACCGTCGGCGGCCCCCGCCGTCGCTGGGAAGCAGGCCGGCGCGCGCCTCTCTGCTGCGGGCCGGCCACGGCGGGAAGCCGCCCGGCGAGCAGCGGGCGCCGAGCCCCTTCGCGCCCGTCTGGGGCCGCCCGGCCCCGGCTTCCCTCCCACTGGCCCGGCCCGGCCCGGCCCGCCGCCAGCACCACCTTCTTGTCCCAGATCTGCAGCGGCTTGCTCCCGATGCTGTAGAGGACGGACAGGAAGCCGCTCTGGAACGTGTTCTTGAACATCCCGCCGGGCCCGGGCCGGCAGCGGGCCGGCCGGACTGGCTCCGCCGGGCGAGAGGGCCGGTCTGTCTGGCGGGAGCGGCCACCTCAGCCTCCTCAGCTCTGCCGCCGCGGCCAAGCGCGTCCCTCGGCGTCGCCGTGGCGGAAGGACACCGCGCGCTGCTGCGTGAGACTCTTCCGCGAAGCCTACTGGGATCCCTCCGCGGGCGTACGCGCGCGCGCGCGGGCCTCTCGAAGCGCCTTCCGTCTCCAAGGGACGGATTATTTTCTCGACGGAACTCGTTTCCGTCTTTCCTCCGCTTGCGGCCCGTTGCCTGGCAACGGCGGCGGCCCGCTTTCCATAGAGATGGGAAGGGGTAGAAGGGCGGCTAGGGGTGACTGTTCTAAGCTTCCGCAGTTTGGGCTGCAGCTCCCATCATCCGCAGCAGGCCCAACGCATCTGGAGGAGGCGCCGAGCTGGGCAAGTCTGCTCCGACCGCTGCGTCGCCCGCAGTTAACGGGAGACTTCCGATGCTTTGCTGCGCTTTCTGAGTTAGTCGTGGAAACTGCACCCGGGGGTAGGCCCAGTCAACCCTGGGGCCTACTGGTGAGTAGGAGGGCACCCAAACCTTACCAGAAAAAAGGGGGCGGCGCAAAGCAGGCCCCTCTAATTAAAAAATAATAATTCCAAAAACGATGGCGTGCGCTAGAGGCGCTCTAGAACAATATTTCAGGGCCAAAACCCTTGCAACAATTACGTTGCTGTTGCTGTTGTTCTTATTAACTGCACCATACCCAGATCCTCTCTGAACAAGAGAGAAAGGGAAACTCTGGACTACCAGCTTCCCAGTGAACTAAAGGCAAAGCTTGAACAGATGGGATTGATGTAATTATTTATTTAGGATATTAATATTATCCTAATTATTATTAAATTATTATTAGATTAAAATGTGTGATAATCTGCAAAAGACGCATTTCTGGGCAATAGCCCCATCCCACACAACAGGAATTTCCCACACAACAGGAGTTGGTACTCAGCCTCATTTGGGTACAGAAATGCTACATGAAAGAACACTGTTACAAAACCTTGTATTCTGTATTCTGGAAAATGGTCTAGAATAGCAGCTTCTAAGTGAACCAGTGTGGTGTACTGGTTGAGTGTGTTCTTGGGTTCTACTTCCCATTCAGTCATGGAGCTCGCTGGGTGACTTCACGCCAGTCACAAACTCTCAACCCAACATACCTCACAAAGGAATAAGATTGAAAGGAAGATAAGTACATAAGCCACTTTGAATTCCTTGGAAGGAAAAGGGGCAGGATTTAAATATGATTAATAAACCAATCAATAAATAAACCAAACCAATAAAATTCATCTGTCTCACATAGCTATACCAGAGGGATGCTGTAGGCCACCAAATTTCCATAGAAACTCAATTCCTATCCAGGCAATAGTTTGTCGTTCAGAAAAAGGCCTTTAATGCCAATTGCAAAGCAGACCCCCCTCAACCCAATGTAGAGGTCACATGTAACTGGATGGGACAAGATGCAATACACCAGAGTACTTCTGTAAAACGCACTGCACTGGTTCCGGGTAATATATGCCCTTCAGGGAGAACCATCAGGAATGACAATCTCCAAGTAAGCCAAATAACTACATTCATCTCTCATACACATGCAGATGGGGCTTATACAGCAGCCTGAAAAACATCAGAAAACAGCACAACACCCAGGAATCACTTAAGGTAGTTTTCATTGTCTGTACTTGTTTAAAAATTCACTCTTACAGTGCTTCCTCCAGCAGCCCTCATGCGCACAGCCGGTCCCAGACTGATGCCTCAGTTATCTTACAAAGTAGGCAGTGTCTGCAAAATCTTGTGCCAGAATCAAATATGTTACACTTTCAGGTGCCACAAGACTGTCATTTTTGCTGTTACGGATCAATAGGGCTACCCTTCGAGAAGTAAGCTCATGGACAGGAATGATCTGGTAGCCACTGCTTACTTGGTCTTCCAAAAAGGCCTTTGTTCGTGTCACTCCCCAAAGTCTCCTGAGCAAACTCAGCTTTCACAGAATGGGGAGGGTCCTCTTATGGATCAGTAACCAGTTAAAGAACAGGAAGCAGGGAGTGGGGATGAGTGCCCAATTCTCCCAAAAGGAGATGTAACCAGCAGGGTCCCTCAGGGACTCCTGATTTTCAAACTTGTTCATAAATGCTGTGGAACTGGGAATGAGCAGTGAAGGGGCCAAGTGTACACCAAATTATTTAAGGATTGCTGTTATAGGCCAGTTTCAAACATTCGGTTTCTAGCCAAGGTGATTGAAAAGTTGGTGGTGTTGCAACTCCAGATGCACCCGAATGGCTATCTGGGCCTGTTTCAATTAAGCCAGCACATAGGTCTGAGACTACTTTGGTAGACCTGGTGGATGACCTATGCCTGGAACTGGATGGGTGGACAGTGCAGCCTGCTAGTTCTTCAGGACCTGCTAGTTTCTGTTGTGCTTGACCGTGGGATCCTTCTGAGGCACCCGAGGTCAAGCTGCGGGGGCACTGTACTGCGTTTCTGGTCTGTTCCATCAGAAGGTGGCATGACAGGACTGCAGTTCCTCACCTAGTCTAAACTGTCCTTCAGGGCTCTGTCCTGGCCCCTCTGTTACTTAACAACTTCCTAAAACCTCTGGCAGAGGTCATCCAGTGCTTTGGAGTGCGTGCAACTTTGGAACAAGCATCTCTGTTGCTCTCCAAGGAAGCAGGCAGCACCCTGCAATTCAACAATGGGCCAATGAACAAGGTCAGCTAATTCTGGAAAAGGCAGAAAATCGGGCTCAGTGACTGGGGTTCAACCTGCTCTGAACGGGCTTGTGCACTTCCTGAAAGAATGAGTTCCCAGTCTAGGAGTGCTCCTGCATCCAATGAGGTCCTTGGCGCTTCAGGTGGCAGCAGTGAAAGGAGTGCCTTTTCACAAGTTCCATGTACCAACTGCAACAGGTGCCAAGTCTGACTGGGCCAGCAAGTTATGCAGGCCTTGCTTTCATCACACTTACACAGTCGCAATATGCTGTGCATGAAGCTCTCTTTCAGCTGGGTTATTAATTGGCAAATGGGATCATGATACCACTGTCGGAGGACCTGCACTTATTTCTAATGGGTTTCCAAGCTCAACTCAATTTTAGGCTTAAGCATGTGGTATCAACTCAGTTCCAGGTTTTCTTGGTTGACACTGATTGTGCTGAAACCTTTCCATCTGGGCTTTGACCAGGCTGGGAGCCAGAAGTGTCTTGATCACCCTGGTTGGGCAGCTCTCACCAGACGACTACGGGAGGAATGGCCTTGCTTCTTCCAGTGACAGCTGATGCCACATCCCGCCCCCCAGGTGCCAGATGTTCTGAACTATACTTCCCATCAGCTCAACCATAATGACCAATGGGCAGAGGCAAGAATCGTGCCCTTCAGAAGGGTTCCAGTACCAGACAGGATCCATTCCTACAATTTAGTCAGGGAAGGGAGCTCTCCGAGACTGGATGTGGACAACAATTCCTCTCCTGTGGTTCAAGTCCTGTCAGATCTCCAGACAGCCTCGCTTTCGAATGCTACATGACTACAGAGCCATTTTCTGCACAGGTGTCCGGAGAAGGATCCATGAGCTTTCTGGTGTGGCAAACTGCATGAATCCTGAGGAAATGTAGGCACAGGACAACGAATCTCTGATATATTTCCACTCTCCGCCTCTGTGCCTGGGCTGTTTTCACCTTGCAGGGGTTCTGTATTCTCAGAACCACCCACGAGGAAAGCATAAGAAGCCTCTCATCCAGGGCCACCGGCGTAGCCCTCCTTGGGCCTACTGCCCTTTCCCCAGGCCAAGAGGGAGCCGGTTGTGGCCCTCCAGATTGTTTTAGCCTATACCTCCCACCATGTAGGCTGCCTGGGTTGTAGGTCAAAACATCTGGTAAACCCCAGTTGTAACAGAAACACGTAGCAGACCAGACACAGATTTCCTTGAATCACATTAGTCCAGGCATAGTTTATCAGTCACGTGAAATACTGTATTTCAAAATGAGGTTTTTCGGGTTTTTAGGCACCTTTGAGCAAAACTGGAGAGGTGTTTCAGGTTTTGCAGGGTTGTGTTTGCATGGCAGAACTACCTGTGGATTGTTTAAAGCATGGATGAGCACGAACAAGCAAGTGGGAGCAGCTTCTGACTGCCCCAATACTCCCACTGCAGCCAGGTGCAGCTAAACAACCCATGGATGCCCCTAATGGGGACATCTGAATTGGGTGTTCTGGGCCGCTGGGGAGAGAGAACCCCTGGTTTAATTCTTGAGGTAGGACTTGGGGTTGTCTTCTCTGCCAGCAGCCCACAATTCTGGGTTCAGACATCACAACGCACAGACCAGAGATGGGGTGTTGTTTAGCTCAGCAGCAGTGGTGGTGTGTGCTTGCCCGGTTCAATCACGATCACCTATGCTCATAGCAACCCCGGGGCAGTCATGCCTCTGAGCTGAACCAGTGTTGTACAAGCCATCTTCAAAAAGTTGCCCCCTCCTGTTTTTCTCTCCCTCATTCCTTTTATTTTTTCCTTTCCACTTTGGACAACGAACCGCCAATTCTTTGATGCCATTGCTGTTTCTCAGTGCCATATTGATGGAGATATAGGGGAGGGTGGCCTTGGGAGATGGTGGGCTGGAAACAGAATGGTTGCCATTATCTAGTAGATTCGTTGTAGGAAATGCTACTGCTCTTTTGCAGTGTCTCCACTTTCTTTCAAAACCTCAATGACCATTGTCAAAGAACCTGATGTTTCTCTAGTGCTGGCCCTTCCCAGTCTAGACAGGAAGATGTACCCCCAGCTGGGCTTTGATCCTGCACCACAGTAGCATCCCTCACTGTGTGCCTTCCCTTGGCTTTCAGTTAAGACTCGCCATGCATTTACTTAATTTTTTATTCAATAATATATAATTACTTTAATATAGAACTGTCCATCATGCCACAGAGCTTCCCTCCTCCCGCAGCCTGCAAAATAGGAGCCAGTTACTTCTCAAGGCGGCACATGCTGGGCCGGGTTTGAGGAAGCCACCTGAGCCAACAACAGTTTTGCATACCCTTCATGTTTTCCATGCTTTCTCGGTCAGGAAGGAGTCAACAGGAAGTCAAAAGCAGAAGTTAAGGTTTGTGTTTTTATATGCCATCAGCTGCCGCTGTTGCAGTCCTCACTCCGGAACCTGCCACCGGGATGCCACCTGGACGCCGCACACCACCATCTCTGTACACAAGTGGATTAAGACGTTTGATTTGGTTCTTGTTCTGCTTATGGGAAATTGGGAGGAACAGCATCGGACAGACCTAGGGAGAGAGGGGAAGCAAGCATCAAAGGCAAAGCTGGCGTTGGAAGGGACCAAGCATGCAGCCCAAACAGTTAGTGCTGTGAGCCAGGGCGACGGGGAGTGTTAGACCAAAGGCTTACTGCCAACCCCCCTGCCATTTTCCACCAAGAGCCCACCTGTCTGCCAGGCCACCTCCTCCTGTGAAGTGAGTGTGCCTTAGGACAACCTGTGCCAAGACTGTGGTGGCGATCTAGAGCTGGTGCTGCATTATGATGGCACGTGAGTGACAGCAAGCAGAAAGAGCAAGATAAACGCTCAGCCTGGCATCCCACTCACTCATTCATCTCACGTTTACAACAGAACGCAGCTCTTTCACCCTTCTCTCTGAAAAACAGGTATGTAAGGAAGGATGGGGCATCTTCTGCAAGGTTTCCAATTCCCACCAATGCAGCTATGCCAGCCACTCTGGGGCCAGGCTGCATCTTCACATCAAGTTCTGCAGAAGCAGAGCAGCTAAGCAGAGATTTCATTTTCCTGGGACTCTTGGTTTTTATTTGGAGGGAAGAGGGGGAGAAAAGATGCACTTGCTTGTTTAGCTCTTACGGCTGCCACAAGAAGTGTTCGAAAAAGTGTGGACAGTCCATTCTGATGGAAGCTTCCAAAGCCAGAGGTTGTGGAACAAGATTTCCAGGGATGGGGATGGGATTCAGTGCCCTTGAGACTTGGCCGCTCCGCATGACTGGCAAAACAAGAAGAGCGAAGCAAGCGGGCCTCACTTGCGCAGGCCGCACAGCTCCACATTTTCCTCGCTGTTGATTTTGTCTGGTTCTAAAAGCGCAGGCTAGACACAGCTCTTCCAGGAGCAGCCTCCCCCGTCTGATGCCTTCCAGCGTGGCCCAGCTGGGAAGTTCCGGTCCAACACTCCTGGAGGCCACCAGAAGCCATTTCCTGGCTGAGCAGCCAAGCATCAGCACACCCACAAGCTCACACTGGCCAAGAGGCTGGCTGCCACAGAGCTAAGGGGTGAGAAACGGGACTGGCAGGCCCTGTCACAGAAGGCGATGATCAAAGCAGCCGGCCCGTCCAGCGCCCGGGGCCAGAGTGTGGGCGTTCAGCATTGCTGTGGCCCAGTGGCCGAAACAGCGAGCAGATCAGGGGGCTCCAGTCTGAAGTCCACCGTGACTGGTGCCGCATCACCAGGCCAGCCCTTTTCTTCTCTAGCCTCGCCCCACCATCCATGGTATCATCACAGCGGCCTGCTTTACTGTACTGGATAACAATACAGCGTGACTGTGGAAATCTCTGGACGCCCCATAGTTTTCTGAAGAAGAGGCCCCTGCTCTCATGCACCACAGGCCAAGGGAAATCTTAGTCATGCTTGGCAGGCACCAGATGTCTTTGGGCCCAGGAACTGAGGAGGATGGAAGACCCAGCACTTCCCTAGGCCTGTTCTGTGCTTCGCTCAGACAGGCACCGGATAAAGTGAGCACAACTACACACTGCCTCCCCTCGCCTTTTGCCCTAATCGGGAGGCCTTCCCGGGGTGAACTGGACACTGCTTTTTCCTAAAGACAGATGCAGTTAAAGGAACATGTGCCTATCAGAGACTTGTACATTTAAGGCCGCAGCCCTTACTTGGTAGGAAGCTCCGCTAATAGAGCAAGGCCTACTTCTCAGTAAGCATAGGACTGTGCTGCAAGTTGAGATTACGTACAGCAAGGAGCAGACACACTTGTAAACTTCCTGCCTTGAAACAAAGAGCATTCCTTGCCAAGGAAATGAAATTCCGCACCACGAGGTCTACCCTGCACTCTGATTAACCTGTACATACCTACGCCCACTATTTACTTGTGAATTCAGTATTTTGGTTCTTAAAAACTCTGTTTACAATGATAATAAATGCTTATTTCCATCCTTACCCACTTCATAAAAGACAGTGAGGGGGCAGATTAAATAAGGATGAGCAAAAGCAGTTAGAAGCTACAAGGAAGCATCCAACATCCTTTTGCAGGCTGTTTGAGGTGGACTTGGTCTGAAAGCAATCAGACTTTTGGTCAGAAATAAAAAGCATCTCGAGAGGAAAGGTGGCTGCACCATCGCCAAGGCTCGGGGGTCACTTTTGCTTATTTGCCCCTGCTACCAACCCCATGAAATGAGGTCCTGATCTGGAATCCAGAGCAAAAAGTACAATCCACTTTTACAACCAGTGCTGCTTTAGTTGAAGGGGGGAGTGTCGCGCAATAGATTTCCTCCTGAGCCCTGAACGGATTGATCTCTTAGCTCCTGAATCAGCTCTTTCCTTCCAAAGAATTCCCAGAGACTAGACGGAGAACAACACACGTTTGTACATAGAGAGATTTATTGGTTCCAGTGAATTGTACAAATGGTTCTCACCTGATATCAATGCTAACATGTTGTTATTGGGACGTGGAATGTAAACAGATGCTTCAAATAGAAACAGTCTAACTGTATTACTTAAAATTAAATATTTGACAATGTAATAGAAAAAAAAAATCTGCATTTAGGCATGGTGACAAAAGCATGTGTGGATTTAGGTTAATGAAGTCACCAGAATCACACAATATAATCCCCCAGCAGTGGGGTTGAACTATGGGGCTCAAGAAGAGACCCACTGAAAAAACTAAAGGAGCATCTCACACACCCATCCCCCAAAGGAAAAGATTTACCCAACAAAGCCAACACTGGGCTGGGCGTGTGCAAACGTGCGAGGGAGCCGAGCCCCACGCAGGTGCCGCTCACCGGCCCTGAACAGCCCCACTGCTTCTGGCTTCCAGAACTTCCTTCTGGTCTCTGTGGCCTCCACACCCCCTTGCAAATTCAAAGTGCTCCATCAAAGCAGTTCCAAAATCTGCACTTCGATGGGGACGACCACGATGGCCTTTCAGCCAGAGGAAATGCCCATTCTGCCTCAGAGAACAGCCCTTCCTCCCTCTGTGGCGGGGGCTTCAGGAAGAAGGGGGAGGGTCCCAGGGTTCCTGATGGTGTCTGCTTTAAAGCACCTTGGCATGACCAACTCAACCCATTTCCAACACTTACTGTTCAAACAAGGGGGAGGGGTCATGAACCAAGATCAGCCCTGAAAAGAGCACGGGTGGCATCCACCACGTGCGGGCTTCCGTCTGCTGAGACTCTGGGCCCACCTGGGCTTTTTTCTATGGGGTACATGCGCTATTCCAGTTATGTGCAGGAGGGGAGATATCAAAAGGTTGCCCAATGGAAGAACAGAGAAAATGGCACATTAGGAAAATAGAGTAAGAAACTGCAGAATCAACCCAGAGCCGGCTGCACAGATCTCGAGGCAAACCCTTGAATCCATGTAAATCTTGCACAACCATTTGGATTGGGACTTTGGTAACACACAAGAGAGAGCTGGAGTAGCCGTAAGTGCTGGGGGTTGGGGGAGGCTAAGACCTAGCCCCCTTCAAGATGAGGTTTCTGCTGAGCATACAGGGACTTGGTCCATCCCTTCCCCAGGTGACCGAAGGGTATGTTTGTATTTGTAAACCTCTGGAATTACCCGTCGTTCCCCCGGCTTCATCGTGCTGCTGTCAGGCCACTGGAGAGCACGGAGCTGTCGGAGCTGGGCTGGGCCTGCTCCTTGACAACTGGATCTGCAGGAAGAGAGGAGGCGGGGAGATTAACGGGACCAAACAGGCCTGTGGTTAAGAACGTGAGAGCAGCCATGTTGGACTGGGTCACGGTCCTGCCTAGTCCAGCTATCAGTCCACATGGTCCTCTGGTCTTGGGAAACCCAGTCCAGGTGAGATTACGACTGCCACTGGGGTAGCCATTTCAGCAATCCTGTGCTCACGTGCTGTTCTCCAGAGAACTGGTTAGAAGAGGAAACTGCAGCTACGCTTACACAATGCTCTCTGTTCAATCCTTAAAACCACTGGTTCCGTGATACCTTGGCCGTGCTAGCCTCACGCTTGACTGAAGCAACGCAAAGCAAATGTGCAGAACTGCACTGCCGGCAAGCTTCCTGCTCCTTCCCTTCCCACCTTGTGCAGTCCTCCCTGCTCCTGGGGGAGGCTGCAAGCTCACTGGGGGAGGGACCTGGCACTTGGCTTGTGAAGCCTTACAGGGCAGGCCAGTGTGCCTCAGTGGCACTCTGTAAATAACAGCCCACCCCGTCTCGGAGGAGACCTTTCAGGAGAGCCTGCTTCTTTTCTTGGTCTAGGGAGAACTGAGCCAACGGACATGTGCAAACAAACTAGGTGACCGGGGCACTTTCTGTGAATATCCTGTGGCAAATTCAAAGCGTGCTAATCCAGCTTCATATAAGGAAAACGAGGAATCACTTGCCAGCTGCCATGGCTTATTATTCGGAACGCCAATATTACCGTCATTATATTACGTTTGTGCACTGCCCGCCTTCCTCTTGCAAGGATCTAAAGGCAGCTTACAAGGGGCTGCTCTTCTCCATTTCATCCTCAACAATCACCCTGTGAGGTCAGTTAGTCAGAGTCAGACTGGCCCAAGGTCACCCAGGGTGCACCATGGCTGAGTGGGACTAGAACCCGGATCTCCAGGTGTCCAGTCCAGCATCCCCCAGCCCAGTGGCAGCACACCACACTGGCTCTCAATGGCAAAACTGGAATTCCACTACTAATCATTCTGGGAGGTGCAAATACTTTCAAACATCGGTATATTTGAATGACCTTTATTAAACCTCACAGTGAACCTGTCTATAGTTTGCATTTCCCTAAATCAAGGCTGCACCTTCTAAATCCAAGGGAAGATTTTAAAGGTTTTCCTGATAGCATGTATTTCAAATAAATAACAAACATATTCATATATTTTATAAGCAAACATAGTATATTATTTCTTGTAACAGCTACAATTAATAATTATCAATATGGTAATAACATATATTTAGTTAGTACATATATTTTACGGGTATGAAGTGCTTGTTTCAGAAGGGTAGCTGTTAGTCTGTTGTGTCAGGTTTCAAGACAAACACAAATATGCCAGCTTCCAAAGCAGCATAAGGGTCTTTGTTCCTTGTTTGCAGAATATGTGCAGGATTTTTAATTTTGTATTAAAAAAATCCTGCCCCACCCACAATGGTTCAAAATGCTTAAAAGCACTGAACCATTTACAGCTTTTATAAAAAGTGGCTGAACAGGCGCCCACGAGTCCCACTCTATTCTGCCTGCCCCCAAAGACTTACAGAAATAGGGGTGCTCCATAGCTTCTTTGGCAGTCAACCTCTGTTGATGGTCATATCGCAGGAGTTTGTCCAGAAGATCTAAGACTTCAGGGCTGACCAGGTGTCTGTTTTCACTATGGATGAAGTTCTCCCAACGCTTCCGTGAATGTCTGCCAGAAAGGTGGAAAGGTAAACTTGTGGAAATGATGCCTGAGAATTCAACACCTCCAGGTGAAGAGTTGCAACAGGGAGACCAGGAAGCTGCTTGTGGGCTTTGAGACATGTGTTCTGAGATCAGTCTTCTGACCCAGAGAAATCTTGCCTGCCACTGCCAGCATCCTAACCTAGTTAATCCAGTTGGCCAGAAGGTTTCCTTCAAGTGTTTAAGGTGGTTACAAAAGCGACATGCATGGGCTGAAAAGGCAGTGAGATGAGTCAATATTTTAATATGTTGGCTAACAGAATCAAGCCATGTGTGTTGGAATCAGTGTGGTTTACTGGTTAGACTCCTGGATTCAGGAGATCAAAGCTTTACCCAGCACTCAGGCGTGACATTCACTGGGTGACTTTGAGCTTATCCCTGACTCTCAGCCTAACCCACCTCACAGGCTTGCTGTGCGGATAAAATGAAGAGGATAGCCCTCACCTGGCTTCCCTGCAGAAGGAAAGCTGGCAGGATAGGAATCTGTCTGTTTCTACCCCACAAGTGAGCCCACCATCTTCACCAGTCTCACAACCCCCGCCTTGCTTTCTCCATAGCGCCCCCCTTCCAACCTTATTTGAGGCGGTGCAGATTTCCCTGCTCTTAAACTTTTCTGCCTTCTTTGTACAGCCCATTAGAACTGGGATGCTGGTCCATGTGGTGCAGGCACACACGCCAGCCAAGTCATTCCTTTCCCCTTCTGAAATGAATGCTCCTGTTTATCTTTTTGAAACAAAAATCTGTACAAATATTTTATATTTTTATATTTTTTATTTATTTTATATTGTTAATTTTAATTTTATATTGTTATTTTTGTATTTTATTGTATTTTATTGTGTTGTAAGTCGCCCCGAGGCTTCGGCACGGGGCGGCATAGAAATGCTCTAATAATAATAATAATAATAATAATAATAATAATAATGATGATGATGATGACAGGTGATGTTTCTGGTCTCTGAATGCATGCACCAACTAAGCTCCTGATTCGAGCAGCAGAAATGCACTAGCTAATTCCTCTGTAGTTTGCTGTGTACAAACCACACCTCTGGTTAAACCCCCCCGCCAAGATTTGTACTGGTCATTACACGTGTATACATGGAAGGTGCGGATGTTGGCAACCAGGCTGCAGAGAAGGCTAGCAGCGGTTGGCAGAAGAATCCACATCCACCTGAAGAAAAGGCTAAACCTCTCTGGAACAGGTTCCAGGATGTGCCTATGAGCAAACCAATCCCTGGTGGCTGTATTTTTTCACTGGGAGGGAAAGAGAAAAGGCAGGTGTACTTCACTCTAACGGTGCGCTCCTCAAGCAACCACCAGCACAACAAAAATATAAGCCACAATGAACTCACTGTCCCAGGATATCATTGAAGTGGGGATCCAAATCTATGTGGTACTTCTTCAGATAACCATATAATTCATCTGTACCCAGAACCTTTGCAATGCGAACCAACTGCAATGAAAGAGAGAGCTCTGTAGCGATAGAAGAGTAAAAATGACACTCCACCACACTCCGCTTCTCTGCTGGGACAAAGCTAGCTGAGAA